AATAACAAATAGTAATCAAAACAACAACAGAATTAAAAATATACACTAGAAATATTTAATGTAAAAGAAGGTAGTAATGGAAGAACAGGAGGAAAATAAAAAGTATGGGGGGGAAGAAATTTGGGGAACACCAACAGCTCTCTATTAAATTTTTAAAATTTCTCTATTAAGCATGTATTAATTTTTGATTTTCCTGATGAATAAAACAATATTCCTAGATGGAACATAAACTCAGTAATGATTACCAAATGACCACATGCTGCTGAAAAATGTGAACTTTGATCACAAGAGAATTTAAAAGACACATTTTATTTTTTTTTATGTATCTCATCATATGTATTATTTTTTTTAATTTTTTTTAAATAATAAATTTTATTTTTATATTCCCCCATACAATTGCAAATGCCCCATTCTGACCCCAATCCCTCCCCTCCCGGCCCCCACCCCCCAAAAAGTGTCTCTGGTTCATAGTTTTTTGTTGATTTTGATTTTCACTTTCTTATAGTTATTCATTTTCCTGGTCCCTTATTTAAGTTTTCTAGATTCCTGCTATGAGTGAGACCATCCGGTATTTTTCTTTTTCTTTTTGGCTTATTTCGCTGAGCATGATCCCTTCCAGCGCCATCCATGTTGCTGCAAATTGCATGTGTTTATCTTTTTTGAATGCTGAGTAATATTCCATGGTATATATGTACCACATCTTCTTGATCCAGTCATCTATTTTTGGGCATTTGGGTTGTTTCCAAAGCTTAGCTATTGTAAATAGTGCTGCTATAAACATAGGGGTGCAGGTGCTCTTTGGAATTGATGTTTCTGTGTCCTTTGGGTAAATACCTAGGAGTGGAATTGCTGGATCATATGGAAGCTCTATGTTTAGTAGGTCCAGAAATCGCCACACAGCTCTCCATAGTGGTTGGACCAGTTTGCACTCCCAAAAAGACACATTTTAAATCAAAGACACCACTCACTTGATCTGTCTCAAATACCTTAAGAATAACCCCTTTGTAGGCACTTCAGTCATAAGAAAGTTACAATTGCAACTATCAATTAACTAAGTTAAGACAGTTATATCTTCAAAAAAAAATTTAGATGACAAGGGAAAAAATGTCAGTCTGGTCACATTGTCACGTGATAGACTGCACACTGAGAAAGGGCAGGAGGAAGATTCTGGTTTTCCATGGGAGTGAAGTGTTAAGTTCGCTGACAGGCCTTGAATACTCTTATCAGACACCCTCTTACACCTCAAGTAGCCCATGAGGCTAGTGCCTGAAGAAGCCCTGTGCACCAACCCAGGTTCCACATGGATCAGCAGGTCTGTCACTTCCTAACTGCATGGTCCAATGAGTGACCACCTCTGAGCTTACTGTCTATAATCATAAAATTGGTTCAGGATGCCCACACCCAGGACCACCATCCCATCTGCCCGCTAGTAACTGCAACAGCCCTTACAGGTATCTCTAATATCCTACCTCCTGACTCAAACCCTCTGGCACAAAACTGCTCTGCTGTGGGGTTCAGACCCACAGAACCTGGAGCTGGAAGCTCTGCTCTTGGCATGTCACTCACTGTCATGCTGAGACAGGAGGCAGCTCTCAGATCTACAGGTGCCCCAGGATAATGTCATAGGAATGGATGCTGTGGGGACTAAGTGAGCGACAGAGCTGAAAATAACTGCAACACAAAACATCCAGTAAATCCCCTTATCTCCCTTCTAGATTTATGATGTTCCAATGCAAAAAGAGCTGTAAATTCACTAAAACAGAATGTGTTCCTCATAACAATGGGCTGGCCAGGGACCAAGGCCAGACAAGTGACAAGGGTAAGGCCACCCTCCACTCCTCTGTGGCTGTCTTGCTGCCCCCAACAAAGATGTGCTGGCTCCGGAATGGCTGCAAGGGCTGGTGGGTGTCACAGAACAGCACACTGATGGTGAGCTGCCTCACTCCCGGGTCAGCCACTATATCCTGTGGGGCCGCAAGTGCATGCCTTTGCCTCTGCAATATGCCAAGAGAAACAAGCAGCAAAATTTAATGAATATCTGTTCCATTCCAAACTGTGATTCTCTTAAGTTGTTTACCCACAAATCAAGTGATGAAATGCCAAACATACACACACAAAAAAAAAAACCCAGCTCTCCTTCCCAACACACTTCATCAGAACCTTTAGGCAGTAATCCTGCCACTGGGATGCATCCACATGTTCCATTAAGGGCTAGCTTCTGGGATTCTTACTCACTAGAGTCCAAAGCTTGGAAAAATGGGATCAGTAAAACATGCTCCACACGTACCTACTTTATCTAGCAAACCTTAGCAAACACTGAAAACTCAAAAGGGGAGACTGCAAGGTCCTCTGCCTCCCAGTGGGCATGGCAGTCACTCCTAGGAGGCTACATCCAGCCTGGCTAATGCCCCCACCACCACCACGAAACATGCTGACCCAAGTTGACTGGCGTCCCACTTACTCCATGCACTCAGCCCATGCACTCAGCTGAGCTTCCCCATGGGTGGAGAGCCCTTCCCAATAAAAAGTGCTTTTGAACCCCAGGGAGTCCTGTTGCTTCCACTGGTAGCCAATGAGGAAGGCTCCTGTGGTCCCTGTGGAATGGTAGGGTGGACTCAAAGGTGTCCTTGGATGGACTCCAAATTCAGTGCTCTACCACCAGCTGAGGTCGCTGTCCTCAGCTGCCAGTTCATTAGACAAGGACACAGAGAGGTGGTACAGTGACTGGGCTAGAGTCTCCAAAACGAGTGTGCATCAGAATCACCTGATGGGTTTGTTGAAACACTGACAATTGGGGGAAGTGACAGGAGAAGGAATGGAAATTTTAATTTCTAGTAAGTGCCCAGGTATTGCTGCTCCAGCAGCCAGTTGGAAAACCACTGTCAAAGGGCCAGCAGGGGGAAGGAATTTGGCACCCTGCCTACAACTATTCCCAAGAGCTGACAGAAATGTGATGTTCGTGAATGCTGCTGCCTTGCTTGTGTGTTTATTCATCAGAAAGAGGAATGAAAAATGACATTTCAGGGCCTCCCTAGTGATGCAAGGGTTTAAGTCTCAGTACTATGAAGCTATCAGCAGACACTGCAGCATGAGTTAGATCCCTGACCAGGGAGTTAACCCACATGGTGAGACAGACCTCTCCTGTCTCAGCCGCTGCTCCCCTCAGCAGTGTATTTCTGTCAATCTGCCTGTTCTGCTCCCCACTCTGTCTCTGGTGAATCCTCTCTTCCCCCACCCCCCCCCATACCTCTGGCCTACACCCCAGCTCTTGTTTGCATAAATAAATCTTTTTAAAAACTGACATTCTAGACTATAACTTTTCCACCAAAATGACATGAAATGGAGCCAGCACATATCCTCAAGTTTCAAAATGAGTGTTCCTTCTCAGGCTCATGGAGCTGCTTCTACCTTTGAATAAAAACTTCTCTAAGCCGGGCTTCCCCGGTGGCACAGGGGTTGAGCGCTGGGCTGCGAAGCTGCCCGCAGCCTCTACAGCGCCAGTTAGATCCCTGGCCACCAGCGAGGGCCCACATGGCACCCAACCTCCCCTGCCGTGCCCGCTGCTCCCCTCAGCAGTGTACTTCATCAGTCTGCCTGTTCTGCTCCCCGCTCTGGCTCTGGTGAATTTTCTCACTCGCCATGCTTCTGACTGTACCCAGTGCTTGTATAAATAAATAAATAAATCTTTAAAAAAAAAAAAAAAAAAAAAAGACTTCTCTAAGCCACTCTGTTATTCTGAAATTCAAAAACTGTTCTCAGGAAATGAAGCAGAAGCTTCCTCATCCTTATCACGGCATGGCCTCTCAGAAATGAGGCCATGGCCTCAGAAATGTGAATTCAGCAGCGAGTCAGGAACACTCCCCATGTTGGACACACGGATGCACTCTGCCTCTATCTGTAGGCAGCATTCCTCAAGGTCAATCTTCGGGTTCTCCCTTAACTCAGGAGCTCAACTAAACAGGAACTTTCATGGCCTCAAGTCCATTGACCTGAAGGTTTATTTTTCTTTTAAAAATAACTTATTTTGGCAGCTCTCCTGCCCACTTGTGACTATGCAGGTGCCTCATTTTCTTTCTCCTTTCCTGTCCTTTAAAATGCAAAAATAAATAAAAATAACTTATTTTTTAGCATTACCATATTTTGAAATAAAGAGCACTGCAGAGCTACAGTCATTATATACCCATATTCATTTTTCATATTACTTTCCACAAGTATGGAGTTATAACATGACATATAGAGAATTCTGTAAAGCTCAAGCATGATTCTACATGCTATTTCTCTTTCAAATGTTCTGTAAGTCCCAAAATTTCTAAATCCCTACCCACTCAAATAATCACTATTAACACTGTTTTACTTCCATTCAATCTTTCTTCTATGTCTTTTAAATGTGCTTACACTTGTTTCCACTATGAAATATTTCAAACATATATGAAAGTGTGCCAATCTTTTCAAAAACAAATTTTATTTTTATAATTTTAAATATATTTGTGTGTGTGTATGTGTGTATTTTACAATATTTTCATTTTTGTACCATGTTTGATTTCTCCTCTCAGGTGTAATCACCATAAAATTCCCACCACCAAGTCACCCGTGCCCCATGAACAATCACCATGGACTCTTATGCTGTTTCTCCCCCAACCCCCCATCTTACCTCGCTCTCTCCCCTGCTGTATGTCTCCAATTTGTCACTAGTAATTACAAGTAAAGTGTTACAGATGCATCACCTGCCCCTGCTTTCCTACTCAGAATTAACCACTCTCCTAGCATGGACTGGACTTCCAGGGAGGTCTGTGCACTTTCTCTATCCAGAGTCCATAAAGTCCATGCAAGTACATCTAATGATATACATTAAACATATAATTATTCCCCTGTTCCTGGTAGGAACCACTTTTTAAATTTTCCACATTGAAAGAGAACATGCATGCATGCAAATTAAAACCACACTGAGATACCACTTCACCCCTGTGAGACTGGCCCATATAAAAAAAGAATAGAATTACCAAGTGTTTTTGAGGTTGTGGTGGAAAACGTATGCTCATCCACTGTTGGTGGGAATGTAAGTTGGTACAGCCCCTGTGGAAAATGGTATGGCAATTTCTCAAGAAAATTAAAATGGAAATTCCATATGACCCAGCATTATCTACATTGGGTATTTATTCAAATAATATAAAAACTTTAATACAAGAAGATTTATCTACACCTATGTACATAACAGCACTGCCCAGGATCTCCAAATCAAGGAACCCACCCAAATGCCCTTCAACAGATGAATGGATAGAGAAATGATGGAGCACAAACTCAGCAGAATATCACACAGCTGTCAAGAAAGATGAAATAGTAGCATTTGGGAAAAAATGGGTGAACCTCTAGGTGATTATGTTGAGCAAAATCAGTGAAAAAGCAAAAGACAGATATAGGATGGTTTCCCTCATCTATGGAATATAAATACCAAAAAAACCCCACATTTATACACAAAGAATAGAAGGAATAGAACTGGAACTGGTCAAAAAGAAGTCAGTGGTTACCAGAGGGAATGGGGAAAGGATGGAGGGGTCAGGGGAGAGAGGCAGATGGGGTATGGGCACAGGTAGTCTGGTGGGAGGGAAAGAAAAGGAGAACATGCATACAGAAAAGCATACATATCAAAACTATTGAAATAGATGAATTTTCAAACTGAATACACCAGAGTAACAACACTGGGGCAAAGAAATGCACAGGACACCCCAGCCAAGCTCCCTTCGGTCATTGCCTCCCCAAAGAGAACTGCTGACCACTCCACTATGGGTTACTCGTGCCTGTTTTTGTTATGTAAGTGGACTCACACAGTAAGTCCCTCTGTTTCTGACTTTTTCCAAGCAACACGTGTGCATCCCGGCCATGTCACTGCATAGAGCTGCAGGCAGCCCACTCTCATTGCCATGGGTTCCGCTGTGCGATCAGAATACAATCTGTCTATTCATGCTGCCACTGCTGGGCATTTGGGTTGTTGCCAGTGTTTTCCTATTGCACACAGTGCTGCGACGAACACTCCAGCACACGGCTTTGTGGACATATGTACACATTTCTGTTGGACACATACCTAAGAGTGAAACTGCTGGATCGTGAATTTGCATATGTTCAGCTTAGTAAATATTTCCAGTTTTCCACAGTAACTGTGCCAATGTACCCTCCCATCAGTTCCAGCTGCCTCACACACTGGCCAATTCAGTACTTTCTGTCTGTTTTCCCCTTGCCATTCTGGTGGGCCTACGCCTCCTTTAAGAGAGTTGTGAATACTTCACTGTTATATCTTGCTTTTCTCCCCCTTTCTGTTATAAACAATGTTCCATATCCCTAACAAGTTATTATGACTATTATCTGTAGTGTTTGCATAGTATCTTAGGTATGAAACTAAAAATTATTAAACCATTCTATTAACTGTTTTCTGCTCTTAAAAAAATAGCGTGAAAAATATCTTCATTCACAAAATTATTTTTGCTGTATTTTTTATTCCAGCCTTAGGATCATTTTATAGAGAATTTTACCTTTTGTCCTATGAGTGGTTCCTTCCCAGGATGACTTTTAATCTCCATGTGAACACCACCACCTCACTAACTGGCACATATCAAATAAGACTCTTCAGAAATGCTCTTCGGAAAGTTCTCTTTGGTAATCTGTACTGTATCCTTGTGAAACTACAAAAAGGAAAAACTAAAATTATAGCTTCCTGAAGATCAGAATGGCAATGACTGAAGGAGGTGATCTTAAGGAAAGGTTTCCTCAAATCCACTACCTCCAAAAATATCCTTTATCTTCTGCAGCGGTAAGCACCATTGCTTGTCACCCTCTTCACTATCTGGAGCCACCCACTTCCTCACGGTCCCTTACATAGTACGCACTTGCTGGCCTTCCACTTTCCTCACTGCACCAGAACCCTCTTTCATTTCCTTCAGGTCTTGGCACCAACATCACCTCTGTGACAACTGCATCTTGCCTCCTCACACCCCACAGCACTCCAACTCACACCATTTACTTACTGTGGCTACTGAACCTTGTCCACCTCCCACTTTGAGAACACATCTCCAGGATAGCAGCCCTTCTGTTTATTGTGATCACAATTAGAGTCCCAAGGATTAAGATCAGTGCCGGACACATAAAAAGCGCTCAGTAAATATTGGCTGATGGAAGGGAAGGGGTCTAATTCACACATGCAAGAATGTCACATACAGTGACCAAGGTCGGATATGCTCTCCTGGGCAGGCTAACATCCTTGTGAGCTCTGCAGCACCAAATCTCATTAAGGTGATAGGAACCATGCCCCAGTGAGCTACAACAAGAAACAAAAGCTGCTGATGCAGAGGACGGCTGTCAATAGCTCAGCCAGTACGAGCCCACGCAGTGACATCCTGACACTGGCAGGAGGATGTTGTCAACAGACAAGGCAATGGGGGGCCCTGTGCAGTGACATCCTCATGCAGGCAATGTCTCTTCACCTCCACCATGGCTTCTCTACCAATTTTCAGTTATATCCATTCCCCCCGCCCCAAAAGAATGTAAGGCAGAAACAAAGCTGCAATGTGCCATGTGGATAACCAATCTCCACAGCAAGTTAAGTTTTTCATCTCCCTTCAATGGCTTCAGTGTCTACCTTGGGACAAAGTATAAACAATCTCTTACAGTCCCTCCAAGCCCTCTGGTACTTATTAGTTGGTACTTCTTATTCTATACTGAGAATTTCTGAACTGAATCCTTTCCACTTCCCAAATTCAGCTCAATCACCACTTCAACAGTGAAGCATTTCCTGAGCCCCAGTTAGAGTCTATTGAATCCTTTCTATTCTCTTGATTGGCTTGACTCTCCTTGCAATTAAAGATTACAAGATTGTTGGGCCTCCCTGGTGGCGTAGGCGGTTGAGCGCCACACTGTGAAGCTGTCCACAGCCTCTGCAGCGCGGGTTCGATCCCGGCCGGCCTGCAAGGGTCTCACATGGCGCAGCAGACCTCTCCTGTCTCACCTGCTGCTCCCCTCAGCGGTGTATTTAGTCAGTCTGCCTGTTATTCCCCACTCTGTCTCTGGTGGATCCTCTCATCCTCCCGCGCATATGACCTGTACCCTGGTTCTTGTATAAATAAATAAATCTTTAAAAAAATAATAAAGATTACAAGATTACAGATTCAGAGTCCCTCAGTCTTTTCTTATTCATGGGTTTCTCCCACACTAGAAGTTATACACCATCCAAAGGAGACCTACAGATGACTAACATGCAAAGATGCAATGCGCACACTAGAGTGGATATAATAAAAAAGACAGGGATTACTGCTGATGAGGATATGGAGAAATTGGAATGCTAGCACTGTGCTAGGAAAGCCTTAAAATGTTAAACATAATGACCATATGACCGACCCTACAATCCCATTGGTAGGTGACAAGAGAAATAAAAAACACAAGACCACACAAAAACAATGTAAATAAATGTTCACAGCATCATTGTTTATAAAAGCCAAAACACAGATAGACTCTGTGGGGGGCGGAGAAAGGAGGGCTTGGGGTCAAAATAAGGGAGTTGTAATTGTAAGGGGAATATAAAAATAAAATTTAAATAATTAAAAAAAAAACACAGATAGAGCCAAAATGTCCATCGACTGATCAATGGATAAATAAAATGTGAACTCTCATACAACGGAATCTCATTCAGAGAAGGAAATGAAACACTGACCCATGCTATGACATGGATGAACCTTCAATCCACACTTAATCAAAGAGCTAGACACAAGAGGACCGTATATTGTATGGTTCTACTTACAGGAAATGCCCAGAATAAGCAAATCTACAGAGGAAGAAAAAAGATCAGTGGTCACCCAGGCTGGATGGGAGAGATGGGGGAGTGACTGCTAATGGGGAGAGGGTTTCTTTTACAGGATGGGGAGACTGCTATAAAAACAATTGTGTAGGGCCACCCCGGTGGCGCAGCGGGTTGAGCTCAGCACTGTGAAGCTGTCCGCAGCCACTGCAGCGTCAGTTCAATTCCTGTCTGGCCAGGGATATACCCACATTGCGCGGCACACCTCTCCTGCCTTGCCCGCTGCTACCCTCAGCAGTGTTTTTGGCCCTTCTGCCTGTTCTGCTCCCTGCCTCTGGTGAATTCTCTCACCCTCCCGCGCCTCTGGCCTGTACTCCAGTGCTTGTATAAATAAATAAATCTTTTAAAAAATCATTCCTTAAAAAAAAATTGTGTTGATGGTTGCACAGCTTTGTGGAAACATCAAAAACCATTGAATTGTACACTAGAAACGGGTGAATTATATGGTATTTTAATTACATCTCAATAAAGCTGTTAAAAAAGGGACTCCCTGGTGGTGCAAGGGGTTAAGCACAGCACTGTGAATCTATCTGCAGCCTCTGCAGCACAAGTTCGATCCCCCCTGCCAGCCAGAGATTATTTCAGTCAGTCTGCCTGTTCTGTTCCCTACTCTGTCTCTGGTGAGTCCTCTCACCCCCCTGCACCTCTGGCCTGTACCACAGATCTTGTATGCATAAATGAATAAATCTTTTAAAAATAAATAAAATAAAGCTGCTAAAAAAAACTATTTTATAAATTCCATTCCCTCTTTTTTCTACAGTTCTTCTGAGTACATACTAGTTCTTTTTCTACTCCAGCACTGTGCCAGATGGCTCATATTCCTAAATGAAGAGGTCAACTAAGGGAAAATACCATCTACCTGTGAAGTCCTGGGGCTGTTTCGGGCATAAGTATAGAGTCTAGCTGGTGGCGTCACCTTGCTCAGTCCCCTAGGAATTTCCCTGGGGTCCTTCCCTATGGCTATGAAGTTGCAGGTTGGCGGAACTAAAAGCAGCCACCAAACACCAAGAAACAAGTCAAGTTCCCCTTAATAAAGCACTTTACCCCAATGTTCTTACTCTTCCCATGGAGAGGGTCATCAGACAGCTGTGTGCAATAGCAACCACCAATAAATTCAAGAGCCATTTCCAGTGAAAGAGCTGTGTTTGGAACTTTCCTGCATGCTTTCTACAACATCTCTTTATTTATTTATTTTTTTAAATGAATCTGTGTTTTTTTTTTTTTAATATTTATTTATTTATTGATACAAGCACTGGGTACAGTCAGAAGCGCGGGAGGGTGAGAGAATTCACCAGAGCCAGAGCAGGGAGCAGAGCAGGCAGAAGGACCGAAGTACACTGCTGAGGGGAGCAGCGGGCAGCAGGAGAGGTCTGCACGCCATGCGGGACCCTCCTCCGGTGGCCGGGGAGCAGCCGGGGATGGAACCAGCGCTGCAGAGGCTGCGGGCAGCCTCGCAACCCAGCGCCCAGCTGCTGCGCCACCGGGGAGGCCCTACAACATCTCTTTAAACTCAAAAACACTGTATACGTGCTATGACCTCATTTCACAGATGTGAAAATGGAGGCTCCACTGCCCAGGGCCACTGAGCTAGTGCAATGACTCATGGGGCTCAAACCTGACAGGTCACCCAATGACTCCAAGCCCTGTGTTCCCTCCCTGACTCATGCAGCCTCATTCAACACTGAAACTCAGGAGAAGTGTGGTGAAAGTAGCAGAGCCAGGGTCAGAGGTCAGGCTGTCAGTCTCAAGACCAGTCCCCAGTGACTGACTCCCCATTGATGGCAGATCAGCAGCTGCTCCCTGCATGCTGTTTTCTCATCTCCAAAACGGAGACCATACCGCCTACATTACTATTTGGTTGTTAGAATTTTTGTTTTAAGAGGATATGTGAGAGTATTGAGCACAATGCCTGAGAGCTTTTCATTTTGAAGGGACTTGTGCCCCAGACATAAAATTCCAGATGCAAGCACAGAGCAGAAACACGGGTAGAGGAGCCAGCACCATCTAGCATGGAAGGCCATCTTGTTCTCATCACCACCCAAAATCCCAGTGGTAATCACAGCAGCTCCAGGATCGTCCTGTGGCCTCAGGGATATGTGTATAACACACAACACACACACACACACAGAGCCTTCTCAAGCTAGAAGGTGTCTATTTCTTTCTGAGGGAGACATGAGAGGCTAGACCACAAAGGAGAAAATAATCACTGGTCTGCTGCCTTACGACATCACAAAACTGAAGTGGCAGGCCGCAAACAGTCACCTATCTGGTGATTTCCTCTTACCCCAATGGAGCAAAAAGAAATGCACAGGCCATCAGGTCTCTACTTCGTAACTCTCATCAAGCATGCTCGTGAGAGGGCCCATGCAAGTTGAGTTTATTCCTCAAAAAAACCCACAGGTCCCTAATTTTGGTATGTTTCTGTGTAGAGAGGCACAATGACTTTTTCCTGAGTCTAAATGGAATACCGTTTTAGCTAATTTGGGGGAATCTACAAATCATCCTTTAAATTCAATTTGTTTTGGGTTTTTGGTATTTTTTTTAAATTCTCCTCTTAGGTCTGGCTGGTTCAGTCAGAATGTAACTTGGTTTCTCCAGGATCTTTTGATGCGAATGCGAAAATATTTCAAAATAACTGGCAGGGCTAAGTATGTCTGGATCTGGTAATGCTAAATGGAGAACGTGGGCTGACAACCAAGTTAGATCCCATTAATAAGGTTCTGAGCAGGCATCCAAAATTATAAGCTAAGTGAGACACAATTAAATCCATTTAAACAAACATTTACTGATCTAAGGAAGGAATCACAAGGAATAAGACAAGGTCCCTGCCTCTGG